AAAGATGTTGTGTGTGGTTTGTAAAAGAACAGTTTACATCTGCATGCAAGCATGTTTGGTTACCAATACAAGCATTCACATCAAGACTGAACCTGAATTTGTGACCCCCAGGTGACATCAAGGACATGAACCGTTATGTAACCTATAGCTAATTTTCTCTATTCCTCTCTCAGCTGACAGCTCAGCGCCCCTCTATGCTGTCCTCCCAATCTGCATCCGACAGTGTTCCACTGGAGAGACATGATACTGAAAATGGCAACAATGAGATGCATCCACATGACAACACAGCTGACATCAACTCCCCTAAGGAGCAGGTTGCCTTCCAGCCCATCAGCCCCTCTAATGTTGAGGAGGATCCTTTGCTAAATGGGAATGGCCCTCTGAAACCTTCAAGCCCAGTGCCAAACCTAGTGCGGTCTCCACGCACACCTCCCTCTCCGCGTAGCCCAGTTCTGATGAATGGCTGTCTAACACCTCCTTCACACACACAGAGAGATGGCAACAAGCAGGCTCCAAAGCTAAAAGACCCCAAGAGTGAGTCTCCCATCATTGAGCGCTCAATTGAGCCCAACCAGTGCACTTTGGAGGACGGAAAGGAAGATGCTCCTTCCAGAAACGGCACTTCTTCTCCAGTCTCTGCTCCCAAACAAGACCCCAGTCGTCGGCACAGCCGTATCCCAGTGTTAGAACCATCTAGCCTTCTAGATCCACCACCTGGATCTGCTAAAGAGAAGTTGATGCAGAGGAGGGTTCACCCCATTCCAATTTCACCCTCTGCTTCCCCGTCATTATCCTCTGATAGGCGTGTAATCGTGGCTGCTATGCAGCGGGACCAGATTTCTTCTGCCTCTTCTGAACGCTCTCAAGATGAAGAATCACTTCTGGGTTCTCGTTCCGATCGTCATGGAGATGATGCTCCCTCACTGTCCTCATCCTCCAGCCCACTTCTACGGAAAAGCAAGATACCACGCCCAATTACCCCCACAACAAGCGGGGAAGCCGTTACTGCACACATGCCCCGTCCACCACCAGGAAAACCTCCTAGCCGCTCCACTGCGGATGGAAGGTAGTTAGCAAACATA